CTGTTCACCTTGTGAGCATCGCGCTCGCGGTTTGGACTGTGTACAAGTGCGCAAAATCATTGCAACTGATCTTACAGAGGCAGCTAGTCACACTACATGCAGGAAATGATCCCAATGTGCGGAGCTTCTATCCTCAATGTATCACTGGAAACAAGAGAGTGCGCCACAAAAAAGAAGGATACAGTAATCCATCAAACAAAATAAGTGTTCGCAGAAACTATAAGTTTAGTAGCAAGATGTTCAGCAGAGCGAAAAACGACGTCTTAAACAATGCTATCAAAAAACAGAGCCAAGATTGTGGATGCAGTAACATACGCACATGTCAAGGATCGTTTGAGGAAGGGAGAAAACAAGACAACTGAAGAAGAAAAGTCACGCTCATGGACAGTATCCACACACACAGTTTTGGCTAACTTCAATTTTATCACTAGTAAGTAGGCAAAAAGAAAGTAAAAACAATCTGCAAAATGAAGCACGAGTGGGCAGATAGGGAACACCAAGTTATGCGTTACGCAAGCCGAAATTGCGCGTTTATGACACACAAAGCGGGTAAAGATGCAGAGCCCAGATGTGTAAGGTGTTGGAAGATAAATATGTGAGAAATCGAGAATATAATTCATGTTTGACAAGCAGGTTCATTAGAATGCTTATAGCCACATCGCCTAGGCGAAACCGTCGTCCTTCTGATAAATACGTGGGACCGGCTAAAGCTACGTCAATCAGTTGAATCACCAAATGCAAAATGTTAATAAGAGGTGAGACCTTTGAATCGGCTGCTGCCGTTTTCATCGGAATATCGTACGCACGCTGTCGGCAGCAGATTTTCAAGGCAGTCAGTTCCCCAAAACAATTTGAGAAACATGAAAAATGACGGAAGCTGGCAAATACACGCATTTCGTATATATATATATATATATATATATATATATATATATATATATGATTTGGCGGCGTCCGTATCCGGATTTGCCTGTCACTGTGACATCCATGGGGACAGTCACAGGACGCCTGCGCCTACAAAAGGGACCATGGGTGGCTTGCGCTGCACCACCCATAGTTCCACCCACACACCCCATATACGGTGTAAACCCGAAGGAATAAGACCGGGAGGCATGCGGATGGGAGCCACGTTTCATCAACGGAGCCGGCCCACACTCCTTCAACAAGCAGAACGGAAACATTCCGGCCTAATTGGGAAATCATACACACCAGACGTACACGAGGCGGTGGCTGGAGCGAAGCCCGTTCCACACAGGTTGCATGGAACCACTCTTTGAGCCTAGCACCGTCACGAGGACGGTGCACTCCGTCCCCTCCAGCGACGACCAACTGTCTCCTGGAGCCAGTATGGACGAGGTAGTGGGTAATAGGCAGGTAGGCACCTTGTCAACATTCACATCAGGCGCATCCACACAGGTGAACTCAAGCAACATCTACTTCTGAAATGCAAGATTACTCATCACGCAGACAGACGTACCCCATACGCCGCCTTATTGGCCTGGATTAGTAAATTGAATGGGAACATACTCATGGTGCTTCTATTCCGCATACAATAGTACCTTCTCCGGCACCTGAGAAACCGCCCTTTTGAGCAGTCCACGGAATTCGCATTGATCAAAATTTGACTTGGGTTCGCAACACCTGAAATCAACATGAGTTTGTCATAAACTCACCTTCCTCATGTTCTGGTAATGTTATTTTCGGTCTGCTCGAATGTCGTTTTACTGCACTAAGTTAACCGTACAAAAGCGGTATGAAGGTCCTCGTGGAATGCATTCGGTATACACATGTATACATAGATTGGCGTCATCTGTGTCCAATGACAGTTCGAATACAACATATGTACATGCGTTTATCCAAACTTAAGTGTGAGCTGTCACAAACTGGATAGAGACACATTAGACATCATCATCAATGGTACGACAAACGTGTATGGGTTTCGTTTGGAGGTCAGGCTAACAATCACTTTCGCAGGCATGAGAATAACTACCCAATACGAACTGTTGATGTTTTCTTCAACATTTAGACGTGACAGCCTTAAATCTTGGGCATCCATATTTGAAGGAACCCGATGTGGCAATAGTAAAGCAACTGCTAGGTAGAATGATGACTAGACTACTGGTACAGTGAAATAGTGTGCACTTAGATGTTGCCCTCTACATGTACACTCTGGAGAAGAAACGTACGCAAAAAAAAGCCTGGGGCGAACAATTGTTTTCGATTTCTTCCTCATCAGGCCGAGTACAGAAAACTACTTATGAACAAACAGGTTTGTGGGACAGTATAGTGACACAACATTGATTAGATACACTTAAACGTAAACCGTTCTCATGATAAGCGTCAGATGATCAGGTGATTGGCGGCAGCGAATTCCTCTCATGTAGTTAATGGCAGTAGAATTTACAATGCTTAAATGAGTTTCTTTTGGATGCAGAGATTAGGCTTCATCAGTCTTATGCTTACTGCTTCAGCAGTAGCAAGAAGTCGTGCTGCTAACTGATGGGTCAAGTGTGACGGCACTTTATGTAGGATTTCGAAGGCCTTACCTTTGTCAGTATTGTGCCCAGTGGCAATCAGATAGTAATTGCACTTAGATCTGTCTCTACGGTAGGTGAGCGAATTCGGTAGGTGCTCCTTGATTCGATTTTCTAAGCGCTTGGTCGTATGTCCAATATACTTAGCTGCACAGAAGTAGGTGAAGCGATTCGAATCGATTAAAGGCGATCAGGATCTTTGTCTTTGAAGCTATGGACAACCAACGATTCGCTCGTATAGATCACATTGACGTCAGCTGCCTTGAACGTATTCCTGCAGGCTTGCATCAATCTTCTTGTACAGATCTCAGCAACTACGTCACCCTAAAAGGGGATCTTAAGGAACAACTGTTATTACTCGGCCGTTCGCACTGTTGGCTTCCGGTCTTTAGGCCTCATATGCGTGTCAATAAAGCGTTCTGGATAACCCTTCTCAAGCAGTGTGTACTTGATTCGGTCCAGTTCATCTGCAAACGTTCCTTCGCAACAGATCTTTTGCGCACGGTCAGTCAACGCATGGATCAGTGTTTTTTTGCGGCTGAGGCACAAGGCTCTGAAAATACATATACTGTCCGTTCAATATGGCTTTCTAAACTGTCCTAACGGGATTGATCCGCCGACTCTCCTCTTTAGATTTACATCCATAAAGTTCAGACGGATGTTGTTTTCTTCTTCAACTGCAAATGTGGCATTAGGATGTGCAGTTTTAAAACGTTCGACGAGGATTCGCAAGTTGGTCGTCCGATGTACTATGCAGAAAATGTCTACGTAACGTCGATAGAATTTGGACGTTGAAATGACCAATTTCAGCGATTAATTTTCCAGCATTTCTATGTAAACATCTGCCAATAGTGGCCGGAGAGTCAATCCCATTGCTATTTCATCAATCCGCATGTATAATTTAATGTTTAACTGAAACTCGATGTTGTATGTGCATCTGAGCACCATGCGCTCAATATCGATGGAGTGCAACCCATCGGCGTCTGTGGCTTCAGCAATTGCCGCTTATTCTCTGCATACATGATGACGTTCTCTTGCATCTCGGCAACGGCCTTCGTGATCATATCGCGCCATGCACGCCGATCGACCGCCTTCGTTTCCCATGACCTGCAATCAAGAGTAGAATGTAAGAGGCTCACTCTGATAATGTCTTGGGAGTGAAGCATCGGTTTGCCCACATGCCACTTCCCCACACTTAGCTGATCATATAACAGCTGCTTCGGTATCCGCGTAGAATCCATACGCTACACACGACCGAGTCACCTCAAGTGTCTCAGCAAAAGTATGCAGTTCACTGCATACATTCCACTTCGACACAACACTTCCGTGTCCGCAACTCTGTCGCACCAACCGATGCGCAGAATCCGTCGCAAACACTGTTTATGGAACCGCTCGAGATATCGCATGTCCCGCCGGTACATCGTCCACGTTTTACTGCCGTACAGAAAAACGGTCAGCACCATGGATTTGTACACCATCAGCTTCGCGTCAACCGTAAGATGATGGTTGTTCCACACTCGGTACTCTAGCTTCGCGAATGCCGACGCTGCCTTCGATACGCGGATACGAAGCCCACTGCGCATCTGCTGGTCAGTCAACATCACAGTCCCAAGGTAGCAGAAGCCAGAGGTGGTTTCCAATACGTTATCATAAATGTTGATTTGCAGCACCATTGTAGATTGCACCTCCGGTGAAGGCTGAAAGAGAAAGACAATTTTGCTTGTGCTGATGGTGAGGCCGAATTTGGCCGCTGTCGAAGTCAGAGCACTAGTCATGTGTCGCAACTCATCCGCGCTATGTGCAAACAACGCACAGTCGTCAGTGAACAGCAGCAGACGAGAGTTCTCACATCGAAACGACGGATGTTCAGTAACCCAACATCAATACGGTGCTCCACACGAACACCGTAAGCACAAGCCACATCAAAAGCACAAGACATCATTGCATGAAGATACATATTAAACAGGGAAGAAGCTAAGACACAGCCTTGCTTCACACCTGAGACAACTGCGAAGTCATCCGAGGTCTCTCCACTCAGCTACACCCTCACCCGCATACCACTGTGCAGACACTCAAGTAAACTTACAAACTTACTCGGACCACCAAACTTACCCAACACCAGCCACAATGTCTCGCGGTTCACTGTATCAATTGCCTTGGTGAAATCAACAAAAAAGGAGTACAAAGGCTAGTGTCGGTCTCTACACTTCTCTTGAAACTGACAAGCCGCAAACACCATATCTATAGTACTGCGACCAGAACGGAATCCACACTGCTCTTCCGCCACGTTAGGTTCCACAACCTGACTGACGAGGCGGTTGAGCAGGATTCGGGCAATCACCTTGCCCACACAACTCAGCAAGTTGATGCCACGAACATATATGCGCTCACATATATACATCCACTGTTATGGAAAACAGGAATTTTTGTACATTTCCCCGTTACTCGTTGTCATGTACCGCTCACCTCTTCCATCCAACTCCCAGTGACAACGAATTCCTGAGATTGACATTCCGGCTCACTGACATATCGAATCCGGGAAAGTTTAAAGGGAATGCACTTCACGCTGGATCGGGTGCGGTTCGGAGTCATTGGGGAGCTGAAGAAAAGAGAAAATTGAAATACAGTCAAAGAATGATGCGTCATCGAGAAATGTGGTGCATTTTATGGAAGCTGAAAAGTCAGGGAGAATTGAAAAACTGCGGGGTCAGTCGTCAACAATAACGACACAACTGGAGGTCTAAAGATAGGTATATGGTGGAATTTGTGAAAAAGTTTAGCCACGAGATTCGTTAGGAAGTTGTTGCAGGAGCGCCAAGTGACACCGCGAAATTAACACACTACCACTAGCGTCACCAAGCCACACGGTGCGGGACAAATTTCCTGCCCAACGCAGTAGATTCAGGGCAAGCGCAGCGGGTACGGTATTGAAGACGTGTATGCTGAATCTCACACCTTGACGTAGTGACCCGTTCTCATTGCAATCAAAACGGCATCCTGGTCTGTACTCGCCCTTGTTTAGCCGTAACAAGCACTCTGCAAAAGTCTGTCTTATTTCTCTCTTGTGTGTGGTACTACGGCGCAGTGGTTGTGCGTCCGTCAACTAGACGGCGGAATTTGGATGTGTGTGCAATCGCGGCTAAATTTTCGGGGTTGTTGTAATCCGTTTATTTGTCAACCCTATGCGCGGAGCACAGCAAGCGAGAGCAATTCAAGCGTCGGTTAAGAGTACCTACCAGTGAAACACGATGCGTTGTGTTATGGCCACCAAGGTCGCTAATTCGGTGTAATGGCCGCCAGACACGAGACAATCACGTGGTAGAGACAACCGACATGTGTCCTTGCTAAGTCTCCTGAAGCTTCCTTGTTCTCTTCTATACTTTACTCACCTAGTACTAGATCTCCCGGGAACATGCTATTGATTGCTGGAAAAAGGTTGGGATTTGGTCCAGGTGGGGTTCATTGATCCATTCGTTAGCTGCTCCTCCTAACACGTTGCGTCACCGAACTAGACCGAATTGGTTACTGAGCGACCAATCCAGAAGACGGGAGGACGAATACGTTACCGATCAACTGCGACGTTAGTACATTTAGCGCTAGAACACGATGACAATAGGATTGGAAAGTGTCACAAAGGGTAAAACTCAAATAAACGAGCGACGTCCAGTGGTAGCTTCGTTTGGCCCAAGATTTGGCAACCATGAGTTCAGGTGTATGAGCCAATGCGATTTTCCCAACTAAGCTGTAGGGTAACTCTCCGTGTGTTAGACAATCAGTGAACCACACGGTCAAATGTGCTGCTCAGGTATAGAGGAGAGGACACGCTTTTGTTCGCACGACCAGTAAAAGAATGAGTCTGGTTGCAGCGTGGCCAGCCGATAAGCAGAAGTACCAGCCTATCACCCCCAAGCCAGATGCTAAGGGTGATTCACAATAATCAGTAAAAATCCAATCTTGCAATTTTCAAAAAAAACCGTTGAGCATGTACGGTTAAGGAAGAAATTAATCCTCCATCCAAGCAGCTCGATGCGAACAATGGAACTGTCGAGCATGAACCAGCCATTGTTAAAGCTAAATAATTCGACAGCAATCCTATGCGTGACAGAATTCGCGTGAATAGCATGGGTTCGCGAATTTTATTGCCATTAGGATACTTAGAAATACTTCAAGTTATTTTTGATCTACGTGCTGTGCTCTTCCAAGTCTTTTACCGCCTAGTCCATAACACCAAGAATAATTTTGCTTAAAATTACAAGTGGGTGCTGGGAGTAATCCGGCTAGGGAAAGCGTGCATGTCTACATGCACAACGATATATTCGTGGAGTCTAACAACGAACGATGGAACACTTCTAACACTCCAATGGGACCACTGAAAAACTCGGACAGCTTCGCTATTCGGTTATGTCGTACAAATTGATCAGGCCACGGAATCGTTTTGTGTCTAGCAAGGACGAGAAATATACCATTTATTTGTTTATAAAGCATCACATCACAAACTCATCACAGCACGAAAAGCTCTCATCAGCGTAGAAACATTCAAGATCTAAGGAAGGGTTTATTATAGTAAGTTCGCTTTTCCTTCATTCCAAATCACACCCACGCCGTCCACGAAAAACTCCCGCTACTAAAGGCAAGTAATACCGTCTATACATTAAAAAACCGTATATTGGACAATTGCTGCAACCAAATCTTGCATGAATTTTGGTCCGTTTCTCGTCACTGCGAGGAAAATGTGAACGCAGGCAACTGAGAGCCAAAATCGGAAATAAATAAATAAATAAGAGATGTGTTCTCGGTGGTACAAGACACCCCTTCAAAGGCATGATCATGGTAATACAAACGCATAACATCAATAATGGTACAGAAATATTACTAGTTAACCAGTACATACTGGGTATATGTGTGTATACACGTGTAGTATGTGGGTGCATGTGTTGAGTGAGTAAAGTTGTTCGGTGACTTCGCCAACACAGGAAGGGATCAGATGAAATCTTTGAGGTGGTGGGCGTTCGCGAAATGGGTAAGATCCTCCGGTATGGCAAGAGGCAGTGACTTTATTTAGTGGTGAGTCACATCCGCCACGTCAGTGTTGTTAAGCAGACATTTGTGGCTCTTATAGGGAGAACGCTACCAGGCGAAAAACCACCACCTCCTGGAACACTGTCGTCGAACTATAAGCTGGACCGAGATTAACCCGAACCACCCAGGTGGCAGCACGTGGAGGTTGATCGGCTAGCCACATCATTCTGGATTTTAGAGTACTCAGTGTGGGATGGTAATGCAGTTAGCCGTGTAAACAGAGATCACCATCCTCCTCAAAGTATCAGTGGTTTCGATCACCTGGAGTGAATCGGGAGTATAAGCGTTTCCAACTCCAGCTTGCGCTACACGAAGAATTCAAACAAGAATGAAACCGGACGCGTACTGCAGGGTTGAGAGCTAGCAATGCCATAGACTCAGCAACCCTAGATAGAGTTCAAATGTCTGAGATGACCGAGCCAGGTGAACCCGAAATGTGTTTACGACGTAACCCAAATACGTGGTGAACAGTTGTTCACCGACATTGGCAATTTGGCTGCAATCGTTTCGTCACCGGTAGAGATGACATCATCAGTGCAGAGTTGGATAGGTAGATTAGTCGCGAAAGCTCGTACCAGACAAATCCAGGAAAGGATGCCCGGTTACTGCGCAGGCACTTAGATTGTCAACAACATTAGATGCGCTTCATCCTGATTCGCGGTTTATCGAGGTATTCAATGGAGCGAATTGATTATGATTGGCTACACGTATAGTGTTCTAACGTGTTGAGATCATTGCGGTTCCTTCGACTTCCTCCGTTCGCTTCCCCCTGATTGGCGGTTCATCGATGAACTCGATGTGTAGATTGATTCTGATTGGCTGCACGTATACTGTTCCGATGGGTTGAGGTCTTTACGATTCCTTTTGGCGCTCCATCCTGATTGGTGGTTCATTAATGAGCACAATGGGTTCGATTGACTTTTGATTAGCTGCCGCAATAAAGCGTCAGCGTATAGATTCTTGGCTCTTAAATTGCAGTCTAGGCGAGAGGTTAGGGATGATTATCTCGGCTGTTGTCCTGGTATCGGATTGTTTTGGTTCGAGTAGCGTCCTGGGGTTTGTCTGATTTCTCTTTTCGGAGCGGTTGGTATACGGGGTCGATATCTCTGTGCCTGTTAATTGAATTCTTCGTGATAAACCAAGCTTCTAAAAACCGTTGCTCATATTGTCTCACGTGCAAATATTTCTGTTTTGGCCACATCGAAGCTGTGGCCTTCTTCGTCCACGTGCACCGAGACCAGGGATGATGCCAAATGATTATCGCAGGTTCTTTTTTGTTCTTGTATTCTCGTTGCCAGTTTTCCACCAATTTACGAGTTTTCGAGACCAATCTGCACGCAACCCTACGTTGATGATGTCACCACAATTGGTGACGAAACGCCTGCAACCAAATTGCCGAGCTAGGTGAACAACTGAGAAACTAAATCGTCAGACCTAACTACCAGTATCCCAAACGTGGTGAACAATATACTAAGGGATACTTGAGGGGAGTTAAATGGCCCAGTGATGAGGCGTCAAGTTAGTTTCCAATTCTCAACAAACTACCTCTGAAAAGCTCAGATACGGGCGAAAGCGGTCATGGAGTGCGGCGCTATAAAGAATGACGCCGAGAAGAAATGAGGGGCACACAACCACCGGGTACGTGCATCACAGTTGTAGCAAGGTTGAAAATCTGGTGCAGATGTGGTAGATCAACAGAATAGTAGGTCCTTGAAGTGTGGCGAGCAAATACTTAAGAAAAGAAAGACATCAACAGTACGCAGGTATGCAGTACCGATGCTTCGCTGCCGCGGGACCACCACCGGTTGCAGGTGGGTTGAGAATACTGACAGCGGCACCCGGTCCCTACACAGGCTCGAACTCGCGCCCTCGGAGTACAAAGCCAACTTGTGATCCTTAAGGTTACGGGCCGGCTAACAAATACCTAGATAACTTATGAGGGATTTGTTAAGAACTAGTTGATTTATCACAACTAGATTACAAGCCAGAAAAGTCAACTGCCAATGTGGCAAAGTACCAGACGAACGACATGGCCTAGCGATCAAGGGTTTGGTTCTCTGGACAGAACCGAGAGAATGCACACCACTGACAATCCCCAAAAGGTAGTTGCCTTTCCTGACTCTCAATCTAATTGCGGTGAAGTTAACAAAGCTAGATAACTGTAAATGACATGGATGATGAGTGAAATGTCAAGACACTGACCGCCTACCTCGGTGTAGCCTCTCTGCGAAAGTACGAGAGTCATCCGCAAGGAAACCGAGGACGCAAAACCGAAGGTGCATTGTTCCTAGGTAGAGTAATATGCTCACGTGTGTAACGGTTCACCGATCATTTCCAACTCTTACTGCGACGTCCCACAATGTGCAAATATTGGGTTAGCACATAATCAGCAGACTATGGCCGACACCAATCGGCATCGTAAAGTAGCAGTAAACACAGCGGTTGAAATGCGCAACACAGGCGGAGACTATTCTGATTGCTCCCAATTAGGCCAAATCGACTGCGTCTTAGAACCACATTGACGATGAATTAATAACAGAAGTAACGGGGCAATAACATGCAATCAGGCGAGTGAGTGCAGATGGAACGCACATTTCATGACAAGCCAAAAGCACATGGAGAATCCTACCATATGCAGCGGTGACAATCGTGAACCCCGATATATGGGTAAACGCATATGCATACAACCAGTAGTGAGCCGTTGATTGTAAATAGCCGTTTTCGGAGGGTGAGGATGAGACAACCGGATGTTAATACCGGAGACAGCGATTCGTGTTTAAGGACGATTCTTTCCGGTTGTCAGTAATGACTAACGATAGGCAGCGGCTAGCACACAGAAACGACTCACGATCAGGTAGCCAGTGAACTTCTGCGTAACAGTGATACTCAGCAGGCCAACTGATCAGGAAAAAGGTTCTAATCGAAGCCACTGCAGCGCATTCATACAAGTCGGTATACGCAATAACGGTACATTTCGCAAAACAATAAGAGAAATGCTACACGTATGGTACAATGGAAGGATTTGATAGGAGCTGGAGGGGAAATGGCAATTAGTCGGTGTCACTCAGTCGCATAGATTCTTCGTCGGCATGTGGTTGGACATTGGAGTTCACCGAGGGCTCATGCCCAGGAGTGTCCATGAGGACGGTGGATGTAGGGGGACCAGTATCGGATGTACTTGTCATGAAAGCATGGGATCGATCGGAGTGGTGGCCGCTCACCTCTACGTCTCGCCAAGGTGAGAGAGCAGTTGAGGAAGAAGCTGTTGACAGGGCAGACGCGACTTCAGTGGAATGAACTCGGTTCTCCCGAGAAGAGTTGAGACCAACAACTGCCAGCAGATTACCCAGTGAAAGACCAATAGACTGCAAAAAACAAACCAGAGGGGAATGTGGGGGAGGTAAGTTCACATTTGACCATAATGGAACAGATAAGACTGTGACTACAACTGAGAGATTAAAAACGGTCGCATGAGGATTTGGAGCTGTGCAAGCTTTGCAAATCAACATACAGATGAACAAGTAAAGAATATATAGGTATGAATACATCGAGTAGTAGGCGGGACTGGTAACCCCGTTGTGGATGCGTTTGATGTGAATGTTGAAAAGGTGCCTACTTGTCGATTATCATCCACCTCGTCTATAATGGCTCCAAGAGACTGTGAAACGATGCTAGGGGAGGTGGGCGCATGATCCTCGAAACTGTCCTAGGCTCAAAGAGTGGTTTCATCAAATGTGTAGCGGACTACGGCCCAGCCACCGGTCTTGTGTACGTCTGGTGCGCATGATTTCCCAAGCAGACGGACTGGAAGACTGTCGTTGTGTATGCTGAAGGAGTGTGGGCCGGCTCCGTTGATAAAAGGTGGCTCGCATCCACAGGCCTCCCGGTCTTATTGCTTCGGGTTAACACTGGACATGGGGTGAGCGAATGGAACTGTGGGTGGTGCAGCGCAAGCCACCCACCGTTCCTTTGTAGGCGCAGGCGCCCTGTGGTTGCCGTATGGAGGCCGCAGTAACAGGTAAATCCGGAATCGGAGGCCGCCAACTAATGGGGGCCTGGAGAGCATCGAGACTTCATCACAGCCAAGATCAGTCTTACAATCACTGCCATCCGCTGAAGGACCGTCTCGCCCTAATGGGCCTCGCCAGTGGCGGGCAATCTATCCGAATCCCTCCAAGCAACGAGTGCTAAAATTGTAGCCCGGACCATGGGGGTCGAGATGATGGTCCACATGGTCGAGTTAACAGATGGGATATGGTGTGTCACATTCCCCACTACCATACACGTCGTTACACAGAAGATATGGTTGTGTGCAGAAAAAACCGTTGCCCCATAAATCAAAAAAAGACACTTGTGGTTTGAGAATAGTGCTCCTTTCCAGTGCTTTCGGACTCAGCATCATGTCGCGATAGTGATTGTGTTGGGGCATAAGCAGAATGAATGGATGAATGACTGACTATAAAGCGTGACACCATGCTGAAGGAAGCAAGAGCACGCGAAGTTGCTAAGTGTGGATAAAGCTAAGTTAATTCGTTGTCTGCTTTATCAGATCACTTCGTTTTACAGACCTCTACAGATGAAGGTTCGCAGGACAAACATCGCACTTCAATGGGGCGTTGCATAATCAAGTGGGAACAATTAGAGCGGTGGTGGTGGTGGTGGCTGAGACCGGGGGCGGCTGGAATCGATGCAGTACCGATGGACTGGGGGCAAATCAGACGAAAGTCAAGCCCGCACGACTGGTCCGGCCCAAGAGAAAGCGGATTGGTTGGCCGTACTACGAGTGGATGGCATACGCCTGAGACCACTGTAGTACCGCGCACAGCTGCAGCAGATGGTCAGCCAAGTATAAGCAGGATGGACAGCAGACCAAGCAGACATTATGCATGAGAACTGATTACGCAGAAAGAATCCGGCACAGTGTATTGGAGAAACAGTGCACCGTCGACAGGCGGAAAAAGCGGATTAGTCGGCCGCACGGCGTGGATGCCATACGCCTGAGATCACGACAGTAACACAGACCGCTGTTTGAAATTGTCAGTCGTGGGATCACCGACTAAATGAGTAGACGAACAAGCAGAAGCCACCGAGCAGTCTATCTGTGACGGCAACAGGGAGGCCCAGTGTAATCTTTAGCTCTGTGAGCGTGGATCGTATGCAGAACGAGTACAAACCGTGGGATATGACTGACGTCACAGGTCAGTTAACGAGGGCCAGCCAATGAACAGACAACACGGAAATACTGTATGTAAGCTATAGATAACCACGAATCTTCTTAAAAATAACTGTGATTACGACCGACTTTATTCTTGATTCTCGGAGAACAACACGACAAGAACTAACTGGCCTTTCCACATGGATGTAGTGAGAATTGACTCGGTCACAAATTTTGCATGAGTAACCCGGGTTCGAGTATGTAGAAGAAACGATTGAGGACCAATAGGACGTACCTCATCGTGACTCGGGGGAGCTATGTCGAAAGTGTCACCGTGATCAACTCCACTGAGTAATTCAGATGCGGACTGTACATCTGTGAAACAATGAGGTAAAGGAGGAATAACATAAGGAACAAACAGATTTGGACTCGAAAATACCCCGTAATGTGAATAAGGAAATCGAAGAACATATAAGAGTACGGTGACCATTTTGAGATTCGCAACAAGGTACCCGTCTGCGGCCCGTCAAGCTGCTTGACGATATGAACATACTGCATTTCAGGTGGGAGTGCCACAAACATAATTGAAACACTTTGACAGCAGTCAGCCCTACCCAAAAGAAATGGTACATGAAGACCAACCACGTCGTTGAAATAACAGCTAACTGCAAGGAATTATTATTATTTATTATTATTATTATTATTATCAGTACACCAGCCGTGTAACTGATGCTTCGTTGCCATACAACCAAAACGACCTACGGTACGGAAAAATATGAAGGAATGAAGGTGGACTCACCAGAAAACCTTAATGCCCTATGCAAACATTCACGGTCAAGGAGCCCACATCCTGTCAACAACATACCATCACAAACAACTGGTTGTCGTGCAACTAGAAGGCGATATCGGGGAGACAGCTTCCTTGCGGCTTTCACTGCCCCGCGTCATAATCAGACACTACCCTACAGATGACCTAGCACCAAACACACTTTAAACAGGCAGTCCGATTAGGAGACGACAGCAGACGTGCCACCGGTACCGACTGCGAGCAATGTCCTGTAAACTCTTGAACCAAGAACAAGGCGGATCACGTGGACTCTAGCCCAGAAGGCAGCATGGACGGACGGCACCCAGTTTGGTCGTCAGTGACTTCATTTCCCGCTGCCAAGTCAACTTCTGTCCAACTCGAGCCTTGAGCCACCCTACACCTGGTAGACTGAACAAGGCCCTCTTAGGTAAGCGGTGACCAGGCATACGGTACACTCGCCCGAACCAACGCAACTTATTCAGAGCTATCTGATGTTCCAAGGAACCAGATCGTTATCACTGCCCTGCAATCGCCCATGCACATCATTGTTGCAAACACGTTGGTGCCACCCCACACCATCAATATTTCGCAGACAACGATGATCGAAGACTTGAAGGCATGTCAGATCTTCAGACCGAAGGGACGAAACCTCACTCCATTAGAGTAGGACGGCTCTCATTGTGGTCTTGTAAACACGGTCTTTTAGACGGGAGGAGGGTTCTTTCTGTTGCCGCAAATTCAAAAAGACGGTCCTGGCTTTCACAATACGTGAAGTGACTTTAGTTGCCATGCACCCATTGTTGCGGATGCAGCTAGAAAGTAAAGTGAAGCTATCAAATTCCACAAGCTTCTTGCAAAATTAGGGTCAAGGGATCATCAAGTGGCTGATGGTTTTGCAGCAACACTTGGCACTTTGAAGGTGCGAAGCGCATACCAAATAATCGGACCACTCTTGTGAGGTTATTCAGGGTAGATTGGGCAGCTCCAACATCAATAAGCAGCAAGACAATATCGTCCGCATAATCAAGATGAAGTAGCCTTTCATCAGACGGCACCTCATCTCCGGCATCGCTAAATGCTGCACGAGAACACTCCTTGATGGAGTCTACGATGAAATTGAACAAAAATAGGAAAACTGGGCATCACTGAAGAACGCCGATTGTTGTCGATATCGGATAAAGCATCATGGACCCTGATACGACATGTATTGTTCGTGTATAGAGCAAGTAAAATGTTAATAAATTTCATGGAAACACGTTTCCGCGCACGTAGTTCTAACAGAATGCACCGATCAACTGAATCGAACACACTACTGAAATCGAGTAACACAGCTATTGTCAGTCTGTGGTATGTGTGCGGCTGTTCGAGCACCTGGTCTAAACAGCCACATCCAGGGCAGAAACCTGCCTGCTCCTCCATAGTCGGCGATCCTGTTTCGTAGTGAGGCGACGAGCGAGAATTGAGGCAGTATTTTTGTCACGACTGGCGTTAGGCTAATACCCCTGTGATTAGCACAGTTGGTGAGACTGCTCTTCTTGTAAATTGCCCCTATAATCGACTCACTTCAGTAAGCCGGGAGGGTAAACTCCTTCCATACATGTTCGAACAGGGAGGTCAGTGTTTTGCAAAGGACCTCACCTCTATCCTTAAATAATGCATGTGGAAGGGAATCCGGGCCAACAGCACGAAAACGAATGAGAGCTGTGATCGCGTGTCGGACCTCGGCCCCCGACGGACGCTCTAAATTAACCGTCTATGATTCATAATGCATCATCTGAGTAGAAAAAAATCCGGAAGCAAGGGCACAACTGAACTGATCTTGAAACGCAACGAGTCATACAGCGCTCCTTAGTGTGAATCAGGGCACGTGCACTGTCTCTGTCTCACTGACGCCTGGCCTCCTGGAACCAGTGGCGCGGATCAGCCGGAAGAGTTTGCGATAGTTAACTACTGCTCCCATCTTCTCTATTTCTTAAACCCTACTGGTCCACCAGGCTACCTTGTCAGCGCGCAGGCTCCGCTTTAGTTCGCGCCTAATAATCCGTCTGGTCACATTGTGCTCAGTCAGCGGGTGAGTTTCTACTGGAATCCAACAGGTTCACCGACCTCTCGGATATCCAGTGACTGGTGCGGTGATGATTGATAGTACCACAAACAGATGCTCCTGCGTTGTGCATGGAGACCGAGATCTTATTCCACTGATATGTCAATAAGACAATGGACTGAAAGTTCCGCACGCAGTGCATCTTGGTAGGCTAGCTTGACCCAGGGCTAGGATAATTTCTCAGATGTCAATCTAAGGAAACGCTTGGTACGCCTCCCGGTAAAGTTCATGGAAAAGCGACAGCATACAAAGGCATGATCAGAATCGACGCAAGTAGTCCAGAAAGAGCGACAATCCAGGATGGAACCACACCGCCTGCAACTTATGGAGATGTGACCAATTTTGGTCCATCGCTGGCCAGCTACAGGAAGACGTCAAGTGACGCTTTGGCGCCCAGCGTGTCTGAAAGCAGTGCCAGTAAGAAACAGCTGGTGCTCCACACACAGCTGCAACAGACGCTCGCCGTTGCCCATACGGTCGGGGTCAAGCCCATAAGTGCCACCTAGCTAAGCTGATGAAGAGCTCAGGCGACCTACTTGCTCATTCATATCTGCTACAAAAACCATTATATAAGAACTGGTAGCGCTGCGTATTAGGGTGTTCTTTTCGCGGTAGAATGTGTCCTTGGCAGCATCAGAGCTGCAGTCGGTGGGAGTGTAAGCGGAAACCACAAACCAACAGCATATTGTACTACTTCCTGAATCCACTTTGGACGATGTCGTCAAACGGGCTGCACACAAACGGCTGTTTACCGGAATCCAGACAATCAACGATGACTCTACCTTCGAGCTGAGCAGGATATCTACCTTCACTTGATCAGAGACTGCCGCATCAGTGTCCGGATGCGTGCAACCAATAGCGAGAAGACAAGCCGGGTGCAGTTAATACAACAACTCCATGAGAGTCATTGATCCTAGTTTCGGATACGTAACACACATCAATGCCCAGTGTATCTAACGTGAGTGCGAGGGTACCCTGCTAAGCTATTTGTATTAAAGTACGAACGTTGAACAGCGCTAGGGAAACGGGACAGCGTGGCCTTATAAGGAAGTGTTACTGATAGGCGTCCAGTGAACAATGTGGGAACAGAGCTGTAGATAGTTCGACTCCAGTGGCACTTCGGTTGCTGTCAATTAAACTTGGAACTATAGAACAAAGATAAGTGATGGAGTTGAGAGGGGAGTAAGATAGGCAGAGAGCAAGAAAAAAGGGAGGCGCCAGCAGTAGCATGTTTTCGCTTATCCGCCTGCTGTATGCAGCAGATAAGGAGATACTTGATGAGCTGCGCGACGGCTGATACAGGATATGGTTGAAGTTTGAAGAAGTAGTCATGGTTGTATGTAGGCTGAGAAACTGCCAAGGCGCCCAGAAATAGACAGGAGGACGATTAGGGTCCTCAACCAAAGCTTTTGGCTCAAAAGCCCGTCCGCAAGGCAGCGGTGAGGTGGCAATGATTTAGTTTTACAGAAATGTACGCCATCCCATTTCCAACCCCCAAGGTGGAGGACCAAGAGACTGAGTTCGTCTGACCTCTAACCATTGACCAACGTAGTAGGAGTAGATCTCAAGGGGCCAAGGGGCACCACCTAGTAGAGTACCGACGCTTCGCTGCCGCACAACCACCACCGGTCGCACATGGGCTAGGGATACTGCGATGGTGACTCTGCCCCTACGCAGGCTCGAAACCTCGCCATCAAGATAACCATGTTAGCTTTAGGCTACGGACCAGAGGGGTAAGCACCAGTTCATTAATCAGTAATCGGGACCCAAACATGCAATTGACACAGCAGCTGATGTGTGAGTACACAGCACCCAAGGCTGCGAGTGATGAAATGACCTACGTTTTGTGTTTATTCCGTTAGTCGCCAGGATTGAATTACTGTAAAAAAAGTTTTAACTCTAAATTCTGTTCAATGAGTGGGTTCCATCAAAACGGATGTATCGCGTCGTATCAAAAAATAGAAAATATGCTACACAAGTAAGGAATGGATCATAACAGTAAAACGGGTAAATGTTTTCTACGGCTACCGCAACAACAGTAAAAATGAAACAGAAATGTGGAGAGTAAAACAAATATATAATATGCGGTGGATCACTTACAACTGGCTGCAACAGGTAGCTACATCAGATATGGTGTCACTTTCAAGAAACTGAAAACATAGAATGATGGCAGACGGATGGGGTAGAATAAAGAAACCAAGGAAATCTACGAGAGGTTGAAGTACAGAAGAATTAAGATTGTTTTGATAGAAATCTATGCAAGTCAAACAAGAAGGACTCGAATGACAGGAGGAAATCTGTGGATCGAGGACAAGGCTTGAAAAAAACGACAAATGTGGTAGTCGAATGGAGGACGCAAGAAAAGCTGGTGAAGCCAGCCATACCAGGCCCGAGGCGTCTACGTCCACATGGTGAATGCAAAGCAAAGAAAAATCAAGACACTCGGTCTGTTTCTTTGCCCCG